CCGTTTGGAGCTGCACCGTTGAGGATTCCCTTACGTGCCACCTTGAACTTGCTTATATTCTATCTCTGACCATATCGTTGAAAGGGCGTTCAGTCGAGGCCGTAAGGCTTTTAGGATGTTTTGGATCACTATCCATTGGTTTTCAAATTTTGACCACTCATTCATCTTTGAGCACTGTCTTTTTTAGGGCAAGAAGGTTTGTATCTGGACTGCCAAGTCACTGCGAACGTGCCGAACGCGGCAAATCGCGCGGCATCCCTACAAATACCAATTTTTCCCTACAGCCTTCTATTGTACCACCATTACTGTAGACCTCGAGTAGAGAAACAGTATTATAACAATTTATCACACATGTTGCAATTTCAATGATTTTTCCTCCGCACTCAGTCATTTAGCATTGTCTCGTTAATTTCTGACCCTATTTTCAACATCGCTTCATCGCAAAATGTGCCTTCAAATATAGTTGCGTTATCGCTTGAACTGCTGCCTACAACAATTTCTACTTGCAGTAATACCACTTACTCATAACAAGTGTGAGGCTAGGTGATCTTCCTTTCCATGAATCTCACATATTACCGACATCTAACACTTAAGTGACCGCTTCGTTAGAAGCAAGATACCGTGACATTACTGATTCATTCAATGCTTGTGACCTGCTCGGGCGCGTTGATAAATGGGTATTTTGAGGTAGTGCAGCTCATTCTGACACCAGTTATAATGCTATATATAGCACTGGTCTAATGGTTCGCGGTGAAAACTTAGTTCCTAATAAGTGAAGCAGACTTTGTTAGGTGAACATTCACTGGAATAAGTGCATTTTTGGCTTTGGCTTGACTGTGGTGTCTGCAGCGCCTTCCAAGTTCTCTGATGACCGGTAATGGTTTGTCCCAAAGTCCTGGGACACTCGTGAAAAGGACAAAATTTATACACAAACAACGAAACAACGACAAAAATCAATTTATAATATTGCTCATTACTTTTGACAAACTTTGCTTCTGCCTCCCTCCTATTTGGTGGCGGATGCGTGTTTAGATATTTCGAAGCAATCAGCCCGCTAAATTCTGGTTTGTCTTCGCGGTCAATTTCGTCAAGTTCGGAGCGGTCGAATCTGGTGCACTGCTTGTCGCTCCTGTTCCTTCCAATTTGTTGAGCACTGCTTGTCGCTCCTGTTCCTTTCACTTTAACTCGATAGCTTCTCGGCAGGCATCCTTTTGAAGCAGATTCGAACAGTTTAATTTTGGATCGTCCCTTCACAGAGCGTTTAGGGCCCAAACTATTCAATTGTTA